ATCAAAATCAGCTGAACCTGGAAAATCTGAAGGAGCAAGAACCTATCAATAACTTCACAGGAAACCACTATTTTTAAAACTGCAAAAATTCTCGCGTTTGCCTTACGTTGCGGGCAACGAGGAGGTGCATCGCAAATTACCTAGAGTCAATTTTGAAACTTTATTTATATAGTCAAGGATGGTTTTTAAAGTTGAGGTAAATTGTGTAATGTCGAATAATGAACAATTGTGATTGCCCATATAATACTAATATCACTATAGCCTCCTATATATATATGTTATTTGCTTAAATGTCAGGCACTAGTTTGGGATATAAATATTCAAAGCTTATCAATACGCAGATGGTGAAATGTAAAAAAGCCTAATGTAAAATACTTCGACCAAGTGTTGATTTTTGAAATTCGCTGCTGACTAGAACTCACGCTGATAAAAGAGTTTTTTGAGATGTCGTCGCAATTTTATGAGTTATGCTTTCGCACCGAAAAACTGGAGGGTTGGTTTGTATGTAACAGTTTCAAATAATGAGCATATATCATGTGAATTTGCGCTATATACAATACTAAATATTCAAATTTTTTCTATATATATATTCTCATATGTATATACTTCGAATCACCAAGCACAAATCTTAGATTAAACAAAACAGAAAAATAAGACAGAAAAGTTTTATATATTGTGTATTCATGTTGAGTGCAGTTTTATATTTCTGAAAAAGTTGACTTCAACTACAGCAATATTGGATAAAAAAATTTGATTTGTTGTTTTATTTCTTTTTAAATTATTTTTATATTCATAAGTCTATATAAAATAGAATCATTAGATAGCTCTGCATCATGTTAACGATAAAAATGCTGGGACTGCTTTTACTTGTTAGCTGGTCAAATGCATTTGATGATACTCCAGCTTGTGCACAGATTGAAAATTTATTTCAAACACTTTGTGCCCGAGACGGGACACATACATCAATCGGAATGGAAACATCTCAGGGTTCTCCGGGGAAGAGAGGACCAGTTGGAGAAAAAGGTGAAATAGGCCGGCCTGGACCCGTCGGGCCTCCGACTATTGTGGATTACGAACGCATCGAGACTGAGATAGAAGAGAAGGTTGCGCCAGGTAAGATGATTTTCAGCTGGCGGTACAACTGATATATTGAAAATCACCAAAGACACTGTTCCTAATAGAGATGTACCGATATATCGGGTATCGGCATCGGCAATATCGGCCATTTTTCGGTATCGGTCATGTATCGTTATCGGCTAAAATATTACCGATATTTCCGATATATTTACCTTTTTGATATGACCCAGAATGTTTTAAAAGATAGGTTAAAATACTAGTTTTTAATTTATTTTTTGTCTGGAGAGATCTTGCATGTCCCCACCTCCGCGAGTAGTAACGAAAATAGGATTCACCTGTTTTTAGATATTCACTAGCTAAACTACCTCAACTAATTTGGCTATTTTCGCTTCCAAATTTTTATATTGACATTTCAACATTACATACTATACATAGTATTTATGAATAAATATATCAAGAAAGCCCAGAAAAATGAGCAACTTGGTGCCCAGTTTTAAATCATACAGTGGAATCGGAGTTCTTTTTTACAGCACATGCACTTTTTGACAGGGCTATGAATTCTGACAATTTATCGTCAAGCGCGAGTGTCATTTAGTCCGTCGTCGTCGTTAAACTAAATCCAACACAATTATTCCCCTACGCAGGTATTAAATATTGTGATTTCAGTTATTTTAATTTTGTTTAAAACACAATTTCTTCATAGATTTATTGGCGTGGTCGCCTAAACTGTCTCAAAATATACGATAGTATAATAGTAAATATTATATAAATAGTAAAATAGAAAACATTCTCGACGTATTATAGTTACATCTAGTCGGCGCTGATTGAAATCCTTTTACTTTGACTGTAATTTATTGCCGCGACGATTACGATTAAACCCAAAATAAAATATTTTAAAAATGCTTTAAATTGAAACGTAGGACGGCGGCGCTAGAATGAGCGGGCGATATTCGTTATTCTTTTGAACACGAAAAACGATAATCGAAGGGCGCGATACTAATGTTAAATTGGAATTGCACATCCCGGCTTATAAGTTTTCTAATTCAACACCGAGATTACTAGCGTCGGTGCACAATGCTTCTGAATCGATTAATGCATCTGGATACCAAACATAAATTTCTTATCTGATATATCTCTTTTTCAATCTCAAATAATGTGTACTATGAATAATGCTCATAGACCATTGTTTAATCGGTATCGGTATCGGCGACAAAAGTGGTATCGGTACATCTCTAGTTCCTATTCCTATGGTCGAATATGAGGACTAGACTCTTTGAAAATCCGTATTGCTTAACTTGTTATTATTTTTAAAACTGAACTCATAATAATACCGTTTGATTTTCGACATTATACACATCTGCAACAGATCCACTTTATAGAATAATTATATAACACGTGGAGCAATTTTAATTTTTTTTACTAAGCTGTTGACTTCATGCTGTTCAAAAATATTTACATCCTTTTTAGTTATCAGTCAATCAGCTGCGAACAACAACGCCCTCATCTTGGCGATTGAGAAATTGGAAGAACGAATAAATATTCTAGAAAGCAGAGAAGGTATTCAGAAAAATACAACATCAATCTTTAAACCGGTATAGAGCTGCGTTCATGTAGACTTCGGCCAATAAAAAAAAGTCCAAACGAAAATTCATCTCCTGCACAATCTTTGTAGCGTACACCCGTAGTGTGTGTACCAGGTTTGGGTTAGGGCATAATTTTATTCCGATTTGCATTATTTTATTTCTATTATACGACTGTATGTGTTAGCCAAGTGAATATACCTCCTTCCCATAGGTTTTAGTGCGTACATACAACTCAATGTAAAGTAGGCGAACAAAATTAGTTACCTCCATCCATATTGGTACACATACTTCTGGGACGTTAATTCTTTGACATAAGCTCATGCCCGCTTTTATCTCGCCGAGAGTATATAATTCAACTTAACAGGTAATCACCACATGCATTTTCCTATATTATTCAGGGGCGTGTGAGATAAAGTTCGACGATAAATGCTACTGGGTGAAGAGACTTGATCATTTTGTCACTGGCTATGAAAGATGGGTCGCAATATGTGCGGAACGGAATGGCTCACCAGCAAATATTTATTCGGAGAAACATTACGAAGTGATCATGCGATACCTTCGAGCGAAAATATTGGCAAAGAGGGATCTGATTGCCCTATGGGTGGGAATGCGAACAAACCCAGCTGTAAATATATTTCTCTTTTCCTTTCAGTTCGGGTTGTTGAAAATGTTTTAACAAAGCCCACATTCCTAACACATTTTAACGTTTCTTGACATATTTTTATTGAAAATGAAGTGATTGTTTTGTAATTTTGCATTCTTGTTGTTACCGTATAAAAAAGTCGCCTTTCTCATCAGCTACAAAAGCAATTGCTTTAAAATTTTCAGTGATCAAAGATTGTTGTTGTCGCTAAAAGGCTATCATTGATATTCCATCCAAAATTTCGTTGTATTATTTTTCTTTCTTGAAAACACGCTTTTTAATCCGCCAAGCGTGACGGCTTTCTTCCGTTTTGTTTTTTACGAACTGGTACTATGCGAAAGTCGGAGGTTATTTGATACCGGTACCCGCTGTAGACTATAGGTACTAAGATGCGGTAAACTATAGACTACTTCGTTTTAAACTTTGTGTCATTTTATATTTAATCATCGCTCCCTTGTTGTTCTCTGTTAGAGATATATTAAACGAGCGTTTGCAGAATACCAATTTTATAATTTGTAATCACATTGTAAGAATGTCCAGGATGCCACACGTATACTGAAGCAAAATATTTTGTATTTTCCCTTGTCGCTAATTCTATGTTATGAAACGAAAAAGAGCTTGACTTTGTTGCAGGGAACATATTATATTCTTTTCTTACAGACTGGAATCGTGACACTTTCCGATGGAAGTCGAGCTCCATTTATGAAATGGTATCCTGGATATCCTTCTAAATCTTCTGCTTATACGCACATGACAATTGTTCAAAAAGTTCCATCAAGTTCTGTCAACATTGGTATTCACAACTGGCCACCAACGTCCAGCAGAGAAGGCGTATTATGTGAATTATAGAGCAATAATATTGATCCGGATAATTTTCTTGACATGGACTACTTTGTATTTTGATCTAATTCACGAGGCATTTTTCTTTAAGGCTTTTTTTGAAATGTCATATAAAATATATCCAAATGTATAAAGGTAACAAATCTATTATTAAAGGTGTAGAAAAACAGCACACAGCAAATCATTCAGTTTCGCACATAACGCGAGTTTTGAAACTGTTTGTTTATCCCGTTTTTCCTTTTCCCCGTGTCTTATTTCAATTTTCTTTCGAAAAATAACACTAGGGCGCTTTAGCTGTGTTTTTATTTTCATATATATATATCAAAAATAAAGTTACCCAGTAGAGTATGATGAGATTTTCAAATATACAAAATTGGTAAGCCGATATCCATTTACTCATGAATAACCTAACATTTTACTCTTCCACGCGTTTTAGATTATTCATTTAAAACGTGTTGGAGAGATTTCTTGCTATTGAGTACGTCGAAAAAAAAATTTGCGCTATCAACATCATTTTAAGGCGAGGTCCCCACATCACCCCAAAGACTATACGTTGAATCAGTACTCGTTTTACTGTAATCTCACTGACTTAACTGGATAATTGACCAGATTTACGCTGGCTTATACTGCTTTGACTTCTGTTTCATGGGAGAAAGCGATGAAATGAAATATAGTATATAATATTCTATATATAAGTAAATTTACCACTTCTTTAAAAAATACATTCATATTGTTTAAGAATCCCGCCGGTTTCTTTCATTCATATTTTAACAGTTCACTCCGGAAAAGGTTCTGAAAAGTAGACAATAAATTCTTCTGAATCAATGAATGTATAGTAGAATATCAGTATAACATTGAGTGAACACATGCAAATTAGGCATATTTTAAACGAATACCCGTTTTCCGTTTTAGAAGGTTAATTCTGGAGTGAGTATAAGGACGGATTCTCATATCTTCGTTGCTGTTATTTTATTAAATAAAATTATAAAGAATTGTCTTTCAAGTGTAGAGAAACTCCATTCTCTCAATATTTTCACCGATGCAATTATGCGGCCCGTTTTTCACACAGGATACATATCTTCTGACACATTTTCCAATTCAGATATCATTGAATTGAGTATAGACACACACGCAGCGTTTTCTTGTATACTGGATTCTGCTATCAAATTTAACTCTTCACCTTATGTTCCGTCATAAGAAAAATTGACTAAAAATAACCACGAATCCCAGATTCAAAAGTATGACGAGAACAATCAAAAATGATCGATTCTGAAATAGAAAATGGACAAAATATTATTAATATCGATTTTTGAATAATGGAATATCGTTTTAGTAAAAAGTTCATTCTAGTGACACATAGGCTCGGCAGCTGTCACGTGGGGAATAATCATATGCGAGGGGATCGCTGTTTCACGAAACCGATGGTAGGGTTAGGGCTTCCTCAACTACCAAGTCCATACATCTGAAACAAAGATCTGGTTAACATTACCCATATTCGACATGGACTAGTAACCGGATAAGAGGCCGTGGTTTGCCAGATGATTAAGTCGTCTTATAAGTTTTTCTGTCCACCGCGATAAATATGATTCGTATTCTCTATCAGTGACAGCGTTCCTCAATATGCCACTCGTTAGAGGATAAAGTATACCACTTTAAATAAATTATGTAACGTTGCATGATCGTCCATATATCCATGGGAAAATTTACATGGTTTACGACCTTTGACACAGCTAATTGAACTGCAATATACGTAGAGAAACTCACTGAATCATTTTCCTTGATTGCAGCTGAAATTCGTAGCTGATTCTGTCGAAATTTACTAGGAAGATGAGAGTATTCCCTACTGTGATCTTTTCCTGAAATGTGTTCGTTTTCATCCTGTATATTGTTAAAAAAAAATATTAAAATATATTTAGAAAACGAATTAAATGTTTGTTACCTCGCGTAGATCCACTGGAACATAAATCACCGCAATAAATTCATATTGTTTTAGTAGCTCTTGACGTTCAAGTGGTCGCCATAACTGCGATCGCAGATGCGCCCCCCCCCCCCCCCCCCCCCCTTATTTTTGTGCGAGCTCGCGTGGCCTTGTTTCGAGTATATATCCTTACAAAAATTGAGCATATCGTATTGATATTATATTTCCGTAACCAGAAATAAAATGATGATTTCTTTCTGAACCTAATTTATCTCAGATTTAGACGAGTCGTTGCTCTAGTTGAAATCCCAACATGGTGGTACACTAGACACGAAACACATTATATAAACTTGTTTCAGATGTATGGACTTGGTAGTTGAGAGAGGCCTAACCCACCAGCGATTTTGTGATCCAACGATCCACTCGCATATGATCATTCCTCACGGGCCAGCTGCCGAGCCTATGTGTCACTGGTCGCTGGAAAGTACTTCTTACATCATTCAAAACTTCAGACACTTCTCCGCGGGCCGCTCAATTTTTCTTTGCGGGCCGCATTTGGCCCTCGGTCCGCAGTTTGCCAACCCCTGCTCTACTCAGTAAGAAGTAGATTATTTTTGCTTGTCACCCCGCACTAATTAATTTTAATATGATGGAAACACTCGCCATCTCGCCGCATGTTACGCAACGCAGGAACTGCGTGTTCGAATTGCACGATTTATATTATGTGCATTAGACACGATTGCCTTATTTGGTTTGTCGCGGTGTCATTCATCACAAGGGTTCTTGTCCACTATAATTACCTGAAATAAGCAACTGATAGGCTATATCATTTCAGCATTCTTAACAACATATTCTAACAGCATTTCTAACAAAATATCGGCTATGTCGATAATACAGTCCACAATCAAGTGAGTCTCTACCCAGTAGCATTTACCGTCAAACTTTATCTCACACGCCCCTGAATAATATTGGGAAATGCATGTGTTAATTAACTGTTAAGTTGAATTATATACTCTCGGCGAGATAAAAGAGGGCATGAACTTATGTGAAAAAATTTACTACCAAGATTATTCAGAAGACGAATTTTCGATTGGAAGTTTTTTTACTGACCGAGGTCTACATGGACGCAGCTCTGTACTGTTTTAAAGATTTCTGTTGCATTTTTCTGCATACCTTCTCTGCTTTCTAGAATCTTTATTCGTACCTCCAATTTCTCAATCACCAAGGTGAGGGCGTTGTCGTTCGCAGTTGATTGACTGATAACTGAAAAGGGTGTAAGTATTTTCACTTGTCCCATGTGTCCCTAATTCGCAAAATGGCAAAAATACGGGTTCCTAACGGCGATAAAGAATTAGCAAGATTGCAAACATACCCATCAAAATTAAATATAATTAGACAGTCCATCTCATGTGTTTATGTCCGCATATTACATCTGTTTTTTTTTAGAGTAGCAATGTATTTAAAAGTAGCCACGGCGAGTTACGGTAGACACAATTAAGTTAATTACCACGGATTGACAATTATACGCCACAGAAGAGTCGTTTTTTTAACGAGCGAACAGTCACGGCGACTGTTTTATGAGAGAAACGAAATATATATAGACAAAATATCTGGTGAATGAAATGTATGTAAACGGGATTCATGTGGACAAAATATTCGGCGAATAAGATAAATGTGAACAAAACTCATGGACAAAATGTATGAAGAGAAAACACTTCGCGAATGAGCTGTTGTTTTCATCAGGGAAACGAGATATATATGAACAAAAATGTATGGTTAATCAGATGTATGATAAACGACATCCATGTGGGTAAAATATCAGGCGAATGAGATATATGTGGACAAAACCCCTTGGCGAAATGTATGGAGAGAAAACATTCTGCGAATGAGCTGTTGTTTCATCAGGGAAACGAGATTTATATGGACAAAATATCTGGCGAATGAGATATTTGTGGACAAAACCCCTGAATGTATGAAAACTAAACATTTCATGAATGGGCTGTTGGTGGACAAAACATCTGTTAAATAGTATGTATGATAAATGGGATACATGTGGACAAAATACCGATTGTACATGTGGACAAAACATTTGATGAATAAGATGTAGGTGTAAAAGTCATGTGATTCCAAACCTTATCCGTTAAACTTCTCCCTTATCAAATCTTTCAACCTTTTTATTCTTCCCCCACTATGCACAAAAACTGTATTAATTTATTCTTTAGATCTTTGTCTATTGCCCTAGTTGAAAAACCGATTTTGTACAGTTCCAGTGTTTTCTAATTGTATGTGTGCATTGTATTATAGTAGGCAGAGCGAACTTTGGGAAACCAGTAATGCTACAGCAAATACAAAGCCGATTCCTCCTCAAAAGGACAAAGTTACTTGCCAGGAATGAATTTTTTCCAGTTTGGAAAACGTGCCCCCAATGAATGAGATATTTGTAGACAAATTACGTAATAAATAATACTATCTTTACCTATAGTATATGGTCAATCAGTCAATGCTCAATTGAAGCAATTCGTTCATTTTTGTTAGAAAGACGCATTCGTAAAGCAGACTAATTCCATCAAAGACATGACTTTATGTTTTTTGCAGTAAATGCTCCAAAAATATATGATCACAATGATTTAAGAAATTGTGATTGTAGTATTTTTTCAATCGGGCTAATATCATTAAGTACGAATGACTTGAAGATGAAAAAAATAAGGGAACTTAACATAGAAATAAAAAGAAATTGGTATAAAATAGTAAAAGCAATTGATGCTTGCAATAAAATAACAAACATATTGGCAGAAAAAAATATAGGGTATTGCAGTTACATATAAAATCGGAGAGAAAAATGCAATAGAATGATAAATATATCATAAAATAATATGGTAGTATTCATGTTGGATGGGGCAATAATTTCTTGGTTCGATAGATAATGTCAACATCTGTTCGGGACATTAATAACTTTTACATATCATATTAGTCTACAAGCTACCTGAACTATTCTCTTATTGCTCTAAATTAAAGAAAAAAATGACGAAATCGAAAAAAACATGATAAATATTCAGCGAATAACTAGGTTGCAAAGCAATTTAAGTAGTTAAAATCAAGGGTGTGCAACCTTTAATACAGGAGGACCAGATAAAGATAACTGAGTCAAACTGCAGGTCGCACTTTCATTCAACATAGGCTTTCTGGTAATAGCAAGCCCAAAAGTTTTGGTTATTGATGACATGGGTCACAAATTATGACTTGGTTTATCGGTGCCGGAATAAAGCCGGGTACCAACATAGGTGCAGCCAAAATTTTCGGTGAAATTAAAACAGACCACCCAAAGTGCAATTCACGACGACGTGAGGCGTTTAATAAACTGAAAAGAATGCGTCGTTCACAGCGAAATTCCACAGTTACGTGTAGCCCGTCTCTTATGTGCCGGGCGGTTTAGGGTGAATATTTTGCAAGTCCTATTTCAAATATCGATCCTTAATCCGTAGTCAGCAGTACCCGCATTCGAAAATAGAACATTAGAAATCGTGTAAAATAATTTTGAGAGAAGTGTAACTCGCGGATGTCAGTAGCGCCAAAATCGTTTATAAGTACAAAAACACGCTCGCATGTAACGCCGATCAAACGCATTAAATGTGAAACTATTACTTGGATTTTAATGTTAAACAAGTTGATTTTTAATTGCCATTCAATGATAATTAACATGCGTCGTGATTAGTGGTGGGCAAATAGTTTTTTTAGTCGAATTATTCAAATATTTTCAACGAACACAACACCAAATATTGAGTATTGTCATTTCAAACAACCGTGTTTGGAATGTCGGCCGCCGAAACGATCGCCGTGACAATTTTATTTTTCGGAATTTACTTGAAGACTGGAAACTTCGCAACAATGCAGCGATTTTTATTTCCTAATTTTGTCATAATCCATGACCGCAGTGAATATTTTTGTCACCGCGATCCTTTCGGCGGCTTGACTTCCCAATTGATGATGATAAACTATATTAAAGTCCTTTTTATTCACTAGTAAATATTAATTCTCGTGCAACGGCGGATATCGCAGTTTGGTTTTTATTTTTTGGGCAGAAATTTGATTTCACATCGGCGACGATGTCAAAGACAACTATTAGGGAGTGCATTCACAACACAAATTAATTTTATGCTGCTTTTAATCTTTTTTGTAGGATTTGTATCACAGTTTGTTAATTATGGTCCCAGTTTTAAGCGAACAGTATTACTGACCCCGGAATGCGATATTTGTGAATGTGATAGTTGACTTTTTTATGCTTTTAATTTTATATCGTGTCCGTGTTACTTTCGTATTCAGTATTAATAATTAAAAACTCCGCAAATTGGAATCTCTCCAACACGCAGTGTTGAAAATTCACGTAACTCAGCTTTGGAATAAAACACTGATTCTAAATACTTGAATAAATCGGCAATAATGGCATTTATACGTGGTCAAAATAATATTTTTCCCCGTCCCCAATATGTCGGAACATTTTCATAGAATACAAAATATACCAGTCGTACCTATCTGGTTCGACAATTCTAAATTTATAAAAACGGTGTTGGCTTTATTCAAAATTAGAAAATGAAAAATATGATAAAACTTACCCGTGAGTGGTACACGTGGGACAAGTGATACAAGTGGGACACGACATTTTGGAGACACCCCTCGGTATACCGCGAAAAACTTGTTCTAATTAAAATCTTCACTCAGTCTGCTGTGTGCTGCTATGCTGTTACGTTACCCGTGGTTACTTCACCGGTACTGGCCGGTGGCGGGATCTCTTTTTTTTGTAACAAATTTGTTTGTCTGGACATTAATCTTTTTAAATATATATATAATTTGACTTCTTTCTTTTCAACCTGTATCAAAGTTAGACTTTTATCACGGGTGTCGCTGTCCGAGGTTCGCATCAAGTGTATTTTCATTTTAGTGAATTGCCTCCTAGGCATATTGGACTGCAATATTTGACCGTAGATTTGATATTTTCAATTTGGACAAGACGTGCACATCGAGTGCAATATACATGTAAAGACTGTTCTATGTCAATATGTCTTCACTCTAAATGAAAAATTGTGATTATTATGTTCAAAATGCATGGGTTTTGTTATGACAAATTTGAAAAGTGTGTGGAGGTGTGCCATGTCTGGTCATCGAAGCTTTGCTAACACTCATAGCAATAGCTAAGTAGCTTAGATGTTCATCGTTGTTCGGTATTTTGTATATACAGATTTTTGAGTTGTCTCTTTTTGCCCAAGTTTACAGTTTGGTATTATAATGTCACAGACAAAAAATGTTGGCTTAACTTAAGAAAAAGTTATGAGGCCTCTACAGGAAACCAGACGTTCATTCTGATCATTTTACGTGTTAATCAATTAACCGAACAAAACACAAATACATCATAACTTCTATATCGCTGAACGATGACATTGTTCAATCCTGAATTGCTTTGAAATATGTTTTCAAATCCGCACAATATAACGAAGTAATCACATTTTGTCAACTAGGTGTTGTTTGTGTTCTAAGAATTAATACCAATACGATGTTGTTCGAATTAAAAATCTCCAAACGCTGCATTTCCTCGGCGTCAATTACTCTCATTGTATCACCTATAGATTGAAAGCATTAAAGAAACAAACGCATGACTGCCGACACGGAGGAAAATCTGCTGAACTTCTGAAACCATTATTTGAAACTGCATTTTGTAACGTAATTGAGGCTGCAAAAATTTTCGCGTTTTTCATTCGTTATAGGCAATGAGAAGGTGCATCACGAAATTGTTTCAGTCAATTTCGAAACTTTACTTTTAAAGTTGAGTTAAATTGTGTAATTGCGAATAATGAACAACTGTGATTGCTCATAGAATAATATTACCACTATACTGTACTCAATATGCTGTTTTTTCAATGTCGGGCACTACTAGTTTAGGATATAAATAATCAAAGTGCAAATATTCATAAGTTCAGATGTCCGTGGGTGCAAATGTCTATGGGTGCAATCTGTATGTGGGTGCAATTGTTCATGGGTTCAAATGTCCGTGGGTGCAAAAGTATGCAGGTGCAATTGCCCTGAGTGCAAATGTACGTGGGTTCAAAGATAATGGAACTGCAATTAAAATATCGTTTAAACTGGTTTGGGATATGATTAATCAAAGTTTTATAAATACGCACGTGAGTGAAATGTAAAAACTCCTAATGCAAAATCATTGGACCAAGCGTTGTTTTTTAGAACCCGATGCTGACTGGAGTTCACGCTGATAAAAGAGTTCTTTGGGATGTCGTCGGAATTATATGAGTTATTTTTTTCGCACCGAAAAAGGATGGGATTGTATGTATTGAACAGTTTCAAATAAAGAGAATAAATCATCTAACTTTCCGCTATATATATTAAATAAGATGTCGCCGAATAGTCAAATTTTCTCTATATATATATTGTCATATATATATATACCACTGAGCACATTGCTGAATATTTTAAATTAAAAAAAAACAGAAAAAATTTTATATATTGGGTATTCATGCTGAGTTCAGTTTTGTGTTTCTGAAAAAGCTGATTTCAACTACAGCAATATTGGATAAAACTTTATTTTAATATTTTTTTAAAATAGTTTCATATGCATAAGCCTATTGAAAATAGAATCAGTAGATAAATCTGCATCATGTTAACGATAAAAACGCTGGGTCTGCTTTTACTTGTTAGCTGGTCAAATGCATTTGATGATACTCCAGCTTGTACGCAAATTGAAAATTTATTTCAAACACTCTGTGCCCGAGACGGGACACATAAATCAATCAGAATCGAAACATCTCAAGGATCTCCTGGGAAGAGAGGACCAGTTGGAGAAAAAGGGGAAATAGGCCGACCGGGACCCGTCGGGCCTCCAGCTATTGTGGATTATGAACGCATCGAAACTGAAATTGAAGAGAAGGTTACGCCAGGTAAGATAATTTTTCAGCTGGCGGTACAATTGAAAACGTTAAAAATCATGAAAGACGCTGTCCTTATTCCTATGGTCGAATATGAAAAGGCTCGACTCTTCTTCGAAAATCCTTTTTGCTTAACTTGTTAATATTTTCAAAACTGAACTCATAATAATGCTGTTTGATTTTTGACATTAAACACATCTGCAACAGATCCACTTTATAAAATAATTTAGCACAATTATATAACACCTGGAGTTTTTTTTATTTTCTTCTTTGTAAGCTGTTGACTTCATCTTGTTCAAAAATACTTACACCCTTTTGCAGTTATCAGTCAATCAGCTGCAAACAACAACGCCCTTACCTTGGTGATTGAGAAATTGGAGGAACGAATAAAGATTTTAGAAAGCAAAGAGGGTATGCAGAAAAATACAACAGCAATCTTTAAAACCGTATAGAGCTGCGTTCATGTAGACTCCGGTCAAAAAAAGTCTAATCGAAAATTCATCGTTTAAATAATCTTGGTAGTAAACATCTTGGTAGTAAACAAACTTTCATGTAAGCTCATGCCCGCTTTTACCAGAAAATTATGTATATTTCTAAATTATTTAGGGGCGTGTGAGATAAAGTTCGACGGTAAATGCTACTGGGTAGAGAGTCTTGATCATGGTGTGACAGGCTATGACAGATGGGAAGCCACATGTGCAGAACGGAATGGCTCACCAGCGAATATTTATTCGGAAAAACATTACAATGTCATCATGCGATACCTTCGAGCGAAAATATTTGCAAAGAGTAATGGGATTTACCTATGGGTGGGAATGCGAACAAATCCAGCTGTAAATATATTTATATATATATTTTTCCAATTTGAATAGTAAAATATGTTCCAACAAAGTCCGCATTTGTAGCAAATTTTAACGTTTCTTGATAATCTTTACCTGACGATCGTTTGTAATTTTCCAAAGGCTTTGTGATTAAAGACTGTTGTTTTCGCTAGAAGCCTATTACTTGTATTTATTCCAAAATTTTCTATGAATCCCATGAGATCTAATATTTTATCCAACATTTCGGTATCCCATTTTTTTCCTTCACGAGAACGCGATTTTCATGCAGACAAGTTACTAAGATGCGGAAAACTACTTCGTTTTATACTTCGTAATGATATATATTTGAAATCTCCCACTTGTTGTTTTCATTAGAGATATGTTAAACGAGCGTTTGGAGAATACTAATTTTCTAATTTGTGATCACATTGTAAAAACGTCCAGGATGCCACACGTATACTGAAGCAAAATATTTTGTATTTTCCTCCGTTACTAATTCTATGTTATGAAACGAAAAGTTGTTTGACTTTGTTTCAGGAAACAATATTCTTTTCTTTACAGACTGGAATCGTGACACTTTCCGATGGAAGTCGAGCTCCATTTATGAAATGGTATCCTGGATATCCCTCTAAATCTTCTGCTTATACGCATATGACAATTGTTCAAAGAGTTCCATCAAGTTCTGCCAACATTGGTATTCACAACTGTCCACCAACTTCCAGCAGAGAGGGCGTATTATGTGAATTATAGAGCTATAATAATGATTTGGATAATTTTCTTGACATGGACTACTTTGTATTTTTATCTAATTCCCAAAGCATTTTTCTTTAAGGCTTTTTTTGAAATGTCATATAAAATACATCCAAATGTATAAAGGTAACAAATCTATTATTAACGGTGTAGAAAAACAGCACACAGCAAATAATTCAGTTTTGAAACGTATTGTTTATCCCGTTTTTTCTTTTCCCCGTGTCTTATTTCAATTTTCTTTTGAAAAATTAACACTGGGGCTTATTAGGTGTGTTTTTTATTTTCATATATCAAAAACAAAGTTACGCAGTGGAGAATGATGAAATTTTCAAATACACATAATTGGTAAGCCGATATCCATTTACTCATAAATAACCTAACATTTTCCTCTTCCACGCGTCTTAGATTATTCATTTAGTGTTGGAGAGATTTCTTGCTATCGACTAGGTCAAAAAATAAATAAAAAAATTCGCGCTATAAACTAGGTCCTATTTTAAGGCGAGTGTCCCACATCACCCCAAAGACTATACGTTGAATCAGTACTCGTTTTACTGTACTCTCACTGATTTAACTGTATAATTCACCAGATTTATGCTGGCTTATACTGCTTTGACTTCTTTCGTTTTCTAAATAAGTATGTAGCAAACTAAACGTTCGAATTTTTCATATTTGTATTTAGGACATCATTATAAATACTAGCATCAGCGATGAAATGAAATATATTATATAATATTCTATATATAAGTAAATCAACACTTTTCTAAAAAAAACATTCATATTGTTTCAGATTCCCGCCGGTTTCTTTCATTCATATTTTAACAGTTCACTCCGAAAAAGGCTCTGGCCAAGTAGACAATAAATGTTTCTGAATCAATGAATGTATACTAAAATATTTGTATAACATTGAGTAAACACATGCAAATTATACATATTTCAAACGAATACCCGTTTGCCGTTTTAGAAGGGTAATTCTGGAGTGAGTATAAGGACGGATTTTCATATCTTCGTTGCTGTTATTTTAATAAATAAAATTATAAATAGAATATCTTTCAAGTGCGGAGAAACTCCATTCTCTCAATATTTTCACCAATGGAAACATTCGGCCCAATTTTCATACAGGATACATGTTTTCTGATTCATATATCATTGAATCGAGTATAGACACACACGCAGCGTTTCTTGTATACTGGATTCTGCTTCCAAATTTGACTCTTCATCTTATGTTCCGTCATAACAAAAATTGACTAAAAATAGCCACGAATCCCAGATTTAAAAGTATGACGAGAACAATCAAAAATGATCGATTCTGAAATAGAATATGAATAATATTATTAATATTGATTTTTGAATAATGGAATATCGTTTTAGAAAAAGTTCATTCCAGCGACCAGTGACACATAGGCTCGGCAGCTGGCCCGTGGGGAATAATCACGAGGGGATCGCTGGTTCACGAAACCGATGGTAGGGTTAGGGCTTCCTCAACTACCAAGTCCATACATCTGAAACAAATAGCTGGTTAACATTACCCGTACCCGACATGGACTAGTAACCGGACAAGAGGCCGTGGTTTGCAAGATGATTAAGTCGTCTTATAAGTTTTTCTCTCCATCGTGATAAATATGATTCGTATCCTCTATCAGTGACAGCGTTCCAATTTTCAATATGCCACTCGTTAGAGAATAAAGTATACCTCTTTAAATTGATTATGTAACGTTGCATGATCGTCCAGATATCCATGGGAAAATTTACATGGTTCACGACCTTTGACACAGCTAATTTAACTGCAATATGCGTAGAGAAACTCACTGAATCATTTTCCATGATTGAAGGCGATCTTTCTAACATATTTCTCTTTGCAGCTGAAATCCGTAGCTGATTCTGTCGAAATTTACTAGGAAGAGGAGAGTATTTCCTACTGAGTATTTCCTACTTTTTCTGAAATGTGTTCGTTTTCATCCTTTTGATTGTTAATAAAAATAGAACGAATTAAATGTTTGTAATGCTGGTTAAAACGAACACTATGTTTTGGTTCAATTGGTAGGAAGTCATGAATAATTCAAAAAAAGGATGCGACGTAATATATGACGCATTTACAACGACGTTACAGCTACTATAGAGTATGTGTTTATTGTTATTGCTATTATTTTGTCTCAAACTATTTACATATACGCGATTGGCTATCTGAAGTGAGAGAATTCAGTGCTAAAAACAGGATATTCCCTGAGTTCATCATGGACTGCACAATTTATGGGCATCTTATGCCGGGCATATTCTAAAATTTTCCATTCTGTCATGTTATATGACCATAATAGCAGTCTACGCCGGAATGAAGTATGACAATAACGACAGCGTTTTGTTGTGAATAATGTACAGAACAAGAGCGAACTTTGAAGCCATCTTTATGTCAAACGTTTTGTCAGCAAACTCCGGTTAGATTCATTATATAATAACTGTTACCTGATCGTATTGATTTGAAAGCTTATCTTGTGTCGATCCACTGGGACATATTGCATCGCAATAAATTAATATTGTTTGAGTAGCTCTTGGCGTTCAAGTGGTCGCCATAACTTCGATCGCAGTTGCGCCCCCTTCATTTTTGTGCGAGTGACGCGACCCTGACCTAGGTGTCGCTATAAGTCTTTGTGTATTTTGCAATCTAAAAAGCGGATTCATCACTGATTTAATCAGTGGATATACGCAAATACTGCCAACATGCGAGCATTACAATGCCTTTGAACCTGGGTAAAATATTTGAGATTTCTGTACGTCCGTATATTACATGACGTCCGATAGTATTTCTATTTTTACAAAATCGTTGCTCAAACACAAAATGTCGTGAATTAAGATGAATTACCTTTTTTCTGCAACTTTACTGCAATGCGAGTATTTATGTCATGTTCAATGTTGGCTCAATATATATATATTCGATATGCTCGGTATACCGCGAAAAACTCGTTCCAATTCCAATCTTCACTCGTCTGCTGTGTGCTCCCATGCTGTTACGTTACCCGTGGTTAACTCACCAGTACTGACCGGTGCCCGGAGTCTCTTTTTTTGTAACGGATTTGTTTTTTGGACAATCTGTATCAAAGTTAGACTTTTAACACGGGTGTCGCTGCCCGAGGTTCGCATCAAGTGTATTTTCATTTTGGTGAATTGCCTCCTAGGCATATTGGGCTGCAATATTTGACCGTTGGTTTGATATTTTCAATTTAGACAAGACGTGCACATCGAGTGCAATATACATGTAAAGACTTGTTTTGTGTCAATATGTCTTCACCCTAAATGAAATATTGTGATTATTGTGTCTGAATGCATAAGTTTTGTTATGACAAATTTGAAAATTGTATGGAGGTGTGCCATGTCTGGTCATCGAAGCCCCTGCTAACAACCGTAGAAATTGCTAAGTAGCTTAGATGTTCATCGTTGTTCGGTATTTTGTATACATAGATTTTTGAGTTGTCTCTTTTTTGCCCAAGTTCACAGTTTGGTATTATATTGTCACAGACAAAAAATGTGGGCTCAACTTCAGCAAAAGTTATGAGACCTCTCCAGGAAACCAGACGTTCATTCTGATCATTTTTTGTGTTAATCAACCGAACAAAACACAAATACATCATAACTCCTATATCGTTGAATGATGATATTGTTTAATCCTGAATTGCTTTGAAAAATGTTTTTAAAATCCGCATAATATAACGAAGTAATCACATTTTGTCAACTAGGTGTTGTTTGGGTTCCAAGAATTAATACCAATACGATGTTGTTCGAATCAAAAATCTCCAAACGCTGCATTTGCTCGACGTCATTTACTTTCAATTGTACACCTATAGATTGAAAGTATTAAAGAAACAAACGCCTGACTGCCAACACGGAGCATAATCTGCCGAACTTCTGAAAGCATTATTTAAAACTGCATTTTGTAACGTAGTTGAGGCTGCAAAAATTTTCGCGTTTTTCATTCGTTATAGGCAATGAGAAAGTGCATCACGAAATTGTTTTAGTCTACTTTACTTTTAAATTTGAGTTAAATTGTGTAATTGCGAATAATGAACAACTGTGATTGCTCATAGAATAATAATACCACTATACTGTACTCAATATGCTGTTTTTTCAATGTCGGGCACTAGTTTGAGATATAAATAATCAATGTGCAAATGTTCATGAGTTCAGATGTCCGTGGGTGCAAATGTCCATGGGCGCAAATGTTTATGGGTGCAATCTGTATGTGGGTGCAATTGTTCATGGGTTCAAATGTCTTTGGGTGCAAAAGTATGCAGGTGCAATTGCCCTGGGTGCAAATGTACGTGGGTTCAAAGATAATGGAACTGCAATTAAAATATCGTTTAAGAAAAATACGAAAAATTGTGATTATTATGTCTCAAAATGCGTAAGTTTTGTTATGACAAACTTGAAAATTGTGTGGAGGTGTGCCATGTCTCATAGCAATCGCTAAGTAGCTCAGATGTTTTATCGTTGTTCTGTATTTTTATGAATATATAAAAAAAAATGTAGGCCTAACCCAAGCAAATGTTATGAGACCTCTCCAGGAAACCAGACATGCATTCTGATCATTTTTTTTTGTGTCCATCAATCAACCAAACAAAACACACAAAGACTTCATAACTTGTATATCGTTAAACAAGGACATTGTTCAGTCTTTAAATTCTTTGAAAAAAATCTTTCAAATTCGCATATTATAACGAAGTAATGGCATTTTGCCAACTAGGTGTTGTTTGTGTTCTATGAATTGATACCAATACGATCTGTTGTTCGAATTAAAAATCTCCAAACGCGGCGTTTCCTCGGCGTCAATTACTCTCATTGTGCACCTACAGATTGAAAGCATTAAAGTAACAAACTCATGACTGCAGCCACGGAGCGAAATCTGCTGAACTTGATAAAATCTGAAAGCGCAAGGACCTATTAATACCTCGACGGGAAACTGCATTTTTTAATGTAATTGAGGCTGCAAAAATTTTCGCCTTTTTCAATCGTTA